ACAGAAAGGCTTTATTTGTGGCTGATTTTCTATCATAAAGACTCTCTAATTTTTTTCATAAATCATGTGCCGAAATTTCAGTAGCAACATAATGAAATATACTGTCATCGATCCATTGACGGATAACACTAACGGCTTTTCGATTAAGCCTATTCCATTCATCATCTTTCATACCCTCAGGTTTGCAAGAATCACCCTCAATTGGTCCATATAAATCTTTACAAAATAATAGGTCCTCCATCTTAGTTTTCCAAGTTACCCAATTGCTTCCATTGAAGCTAGACATACAACCTACATTCCCCTCCATTGATTTACACAAATAAATAAACCCAAATAAACCGTAAGCTCTGATACCAGTTGTTAGGGAAAATATGTGATTCCCCACAAGTAAATCAATCAATGGGAATAAAAACTAATGCGAAAAAATTAAATCAAAGGCAACACAAGAATTTTTACGTGGTTCCCTCAATGTGAGGTACGTCCACGGGATTAAAATCTGATTCCACTATCAACCAAATAAGTTCCAAACGATTACAAACGAGACACTAATGGTCTCACAAAAACACCCTTAGGTGAATTCCAAATAATCACAAATAAACAAGAGGAAAAACCTCACCAACTAGATGAACCAAATCTTCAGAACCAGAGTTATAGAAGATCCAAAATAACAAACCAAATCAGAACTAGAATTTGAACTAGACGAACAAGGAGCTCAAGCAATACACGAAATTTGATCACCAAGATGCTGCTGCTGCTCACTCTGATTTTCTTTGGGAAAAACAATACACAATAAATATATTGTGAATCTAGGATTTATTATCAAACCTTAGTTGTTTCCAAATTGGATTGGGTCTCCACAAATTAAATATAATATATAAAAATATATTATAATTAATACTAAACCAAATTAAACTCTTTTTCTAAAATCAATTGGGTCCCACACTCCAATAAGGAGGTATACCCAACAAAGCTCTACGGCAGCACCAGAAAAGGACTGGTGGATCCTCAAATTGGACCTCGAATTGATTGTCTTTACTGACTTCCAACTGGACTCCTGCATACTCGAGTTCTGATGTAGGAGGCATGGAATTGGTTTTTGGTGAATCTTGTTATTCCTTCTTGTTTTCTGTGGATGACGGTACTTCTTGTTTCTGACGGTCTTGATTGCATAGAAAGTGGATGATATGACAACTCTTTGGTTCCGGGTCATTCTTGTGGCTTTGTTGCTGACGGTATTGATTGTATAGAAAGTGGAGGATATGACAAATCTTCGGTTCCCAGTCATTCTTGTGGCTTTGTTCCCGGTCATTCTTGTCGCTTTGATCTGAGGGATTCATCATGTTGCCAAAGTATGAGAGGAGGTAGTCACTTAGACTAGGCAGATGAATCGGAATCCTAGCCACCGTGAGGTCAAACAAGTCCTTGAGAACGAAGAAGGGAAGCTGGTTCTCCCATAGCAGCAAGTCATGTCTAATTGCGACGCGATTCAGAAAGGTGTCGAAACAGAAATCTGGACTTGTTTTTTTATTGGAATTTGGGTTGTTGCTGGTTCCGATCATGTCGGGACGTTCAGCCTCATGGTACCACCTGCAGTGACGGCTCCAGAAATATTAATCAGGTAGTTGTTGAAGAATTTGGTTAGAATTTGTGCAGAAGATTTCAAACTTGTTTGTTGGTACAAATAGAGTATTTTAATATAAAAAAATTATATTTAAATAAAATAAATAATATAAACCAAAAATAAATTACTTATGAATAAAAAATGTAAGGAAAGAGGTAGAAGATTGGACAAGGGTGGAAAAATTATGAGCATGTGTTAGAATTTTACAAATAAAGAATTACTTCTCTTGTTGAGTTCGTCGTGAACTTCTATTTAGTTGGGAAGTGTTTAGGTGTGTAAATTCTTATAATTTTAAATTATTTTGAATTTATTTAGTTTGTTTCTTAGAAAAAAAATTCAATTTTTAAAAAAAATTTTAATTTTTTTTAATTTTTTTTTTTTTTTTTTTTTTTTTTTTTTTTTTTTTTTGAGATTTGCCCTTTGTTCCTGTTTGTTTTTAGAGATAGAATGGAGAGGATTGTTAGTGAGGGTCGGCTAGTGAGGATGGTAAGAAAAATTGTGTTTGTCTGATAACCAATGGACTAATAATAGTTCATGTTTACTTTGAGAAATAAGAGTGAAATTAATTATGTAAAATTACACAAACAACCGTATTATAATAGTATGCATTATCCAATTAAACTATTCAAAAACTAAAATTAAAATTACATAATTGAAAATAATAAAGAATTCAAATATGAAACTATTTATTATTATTATTATTATTATTATTAAAGAAACCAACCAATGGTTTTTTTAAACAACAATGATAGAGACCACTAATTTTGGAACTCTAAAAAGACCACTAATGACATGGCACTCAATAAAAAAAGAAAAAAAATACAACACTAAGGTCAAAATATCAAATCATTCCTGGTGGGGCCACTGCCACATCATTAGTGATAGCACTAATTAGTGCTCTCACTCATTTTCCTTTTTCAAAACCAGCCCATGTTTTTGAAAAAGATTCATCCCATTAGTGTGGACTTACCTTGTTTTGTAAATATTCTACTCTCCCACTCCAGTTCTTTTTCTACTTACCTTTTTGGAAAAAGATTCATCCCATTAGTGTTGACTTACCTCGTTTTGCAAATATTCTACTCTCCCACTCCAGTTCTTTTTCTACTCACATGTCTCTGCTCAAGCTTTGCCATTGATGACCACAAGTTCAAGTTGATTGGAGATCTATCAGTGACGATCTTAACCTTTATATTCGTCGTTAACAACAATATTGACTTCAAATTTAAGGTGAGGTGATCACTCGATGAAGATCAGAGTGCTGGATCAGTCTCCTCTCTTGGTGATCTTGTTGATTTGATTATTATTATTTTGTTAATTTTGAGAACTTGTTGAATGATATTTGTAATCTGTCTGTGAATTTGTTAATCTTTTTTGTTATAATTTTTTGATATTTGTGATTTTGGAAATTTGTTAAACATTTTAAAAGCAGTTGAATTTTTTTTACTTTTTTATTTTGAAAATTATTGATTATTTCTAAGTGTGGTTAAAAATTTGGAGAAGGGATCTGTTTTTCTATTTGATGATGTGGTGGATAGTATGGTCATTTATATTATAATCCCAATGGCTTCTTTTTCAATACCAAGTCCCATGAGGGATTCCATTCGTCTAAGCATATTAGGGTTTGAAAGATCAAAAAAAATTATATTGACTAAGATCAAAATATCATTTTAATTTTTTTAATCACATTTCTAATAAAAGTGAGATGTTTCTAATTTTTTTTGTGAGATCTTTAAGTATTATTGTAGTAGTATCTTTGTAGCTTTTTTTCGGCGGGAGGGGGGGGAGGACAGAATGCAATTCATTGTCATTATATGTGGAAAATTTTATATATATTGATAATTAAAATTTTAAATTTTTTTATGTATTTATAAATATTTTTTAAAAAACCTACTAAAATTGTAATTCTCCATTTTTTTGGACCTAATTCTACAGAACTAATAGAGTAGGCCCAATAAGCTCACAGCTTGGTTTGGGGCCTTTTTTTTTTGAACAAAAACCACAAAATCACAACTAATATATGGACCTTAATGGATATCCAACACAGGCAAGTATCTCTTCAAGCTCTCGACGAGTCATTCTACGCATATAGAACGCGAATAACAGCAGGATTGTACAGTAAAGAAAGTTACTATACTTTTACAATATGTTGATATCATATATAATATAAGTAAAGTAGTGCCTTTAATTGAAATGTTCTACAATTGTGGCATGTGGCATACTCAAAGTTTGCCATGTATTCTATTATTTATTTTGTTTTATTTTTATTATATTTTGGTTTTCTTTTAAGTTTGTTCAATAATAAATCTCTTCATGTATCATATATACACATAAAATCAAAATTTAATACTTTATAAAAAACTGTAGTGTATTTTTTGTTCTTTTTGCATGTGTTATGGGACAATTGTAGCTTAAATTTTTTAAATAAATAAATTAACTTCAAGAGAAGAAAAAAAAATAAAAATAGGGACACTATTTTCAATTTGAATATGAAATTTTTTTTTAAAAAAAAAAAAAAAAACCTTATGATTTGCAAACTTATGATTGATGTCTATTTAAAATGATTGCAATTTTTTAATTTTTATTTTGATATGTTAATAGATATTGCATATTTTAAATTATCTGTCTAAGTTTTGTACAATTTTTCATCAATTTTTTTTTTTTCTTTTTAACTGAGAATAGAAATTGTAATATAAATTATTTTTCATAGGTTTTATTTTCTCACAATTTTGATAAGTCATTTTTTCTACTTATTTTTAAAACTTGAAAGAACTTTTATAATTTTACTGTATTATTTTACCACACTTTCACAATTTCTCAATTTTTAATTATTATTATTTGCAGTTATTTATATTACACTTTTATAATAATAAATAAATAAATAAATAAAATCAAATACAACCCATACAAAAGAACGGGTAAAAAACTAGTTATATCAAAAGAGAATTGTCCTCAGACTTACACCATTAAAATTACCAAAAATGAGATGATTTGAGTTAAGCTCAAATTTAAAAATTATAATAAAAATTACATATAATAGATAAAATGAAATCCAAAAAGAATAAAATTGCAAAATCAAAGGTCTAAACATTGGATCGACCAAATTTCATGACATTCCAAGCATGAGTTCTACTTGTGTCTTTTGCCTTTGCGTCGTCTGTCCAGAGTTTAAAAAATTCAATGGTCAAACAATTGGCATTAAAAAAAACAACACTGCTGCATACCCTCAGTAGGGGTCGCACCCCCAGTGAGGTGTCTCGCCCCCACTGGCTGAAATCCAAAAAAAAAAAAAAAACAGTTTTTTTTTGACCAATTATGGAGTGCCACCTCACTGTGGGTCGACCCTCAGTGGGTGTATGAGGCATTTTTCTATAAAAAAAAATGACGGCAAAGACTTTATTTATTTATTTATTAGCAAAGACTTTATTGATGGAGATATCAAGGTGCAAGAGAACACAACATTTCTCACAATTAATACCACATATTTAACAAGCTACCACATATCTTACAATTAAAACCACATATTTCATAACTAACCCCATTTTGACTCATAACCGATTACTGAGAAGGCCTAAAATGGGAGTAGTAAGTAATTCTGGCAGAATAATCCTCAACGAAGGAAATTACGGACGAGTTGTGCGACTTGGATGCCAAAAACGATGAAGGCAACGAAGAAAGCTATGAATGTCCATGGATATGCGAAATATGTACGCCTCAAATACCCCAAACATATAAACCAAAGATGCTCGCTGCGTCTAGCAGCCTGATTGCAAGCTTCAGCGAAATAGAAACTATCCCGAGGCAGAACAATTTCCTTGCAGAGACTGTGGAACAGATCAGAGGCCTCTTCTCTGTCGCCGAGACGGCTATATATGACTTTAGCCTTTTCGAGCACTTGCACGTCATTCTCAGTGTCTACGAGTCTATCCATGAGGGTAGCATACGATGTGAAGTAAAAATCAAGGCGAGCATGGCCAATGTTACGATCAAAGCCAGTGTAACACTGCTCGAAAGCAATGAGGTTTCTCAAGAGTCTTTCTGTAGCGGCACTAATTCTCAGAGTTGGGATTTTGAAAGAAGCTCTACGGCACCACCGGAAAAGGCCTTGTGGGGCATCAAATTGGACCTCGAATAGGGTGTCTTTACCACCAGTTGTAGTAGTACTGGATAGGGTGTCTTTATCACCGGTTTTAGTAGTACTGGATTTAAACTTGACTCCTGCATACTCGAGTTCTGATGCAGGAGGCATGGAATTGGTTATTGGTGAATCTTGTTGTTCCTTCTTGTTTTCGGGGATGACGGTATTGATTGTTTCTGTGGATGACGGTATTGATTGTATAGTACCTTCTTGTTTCTGTGGATGATGACGGTATTGATTGTATAGAAAGTGGAGGATATGACAAATCTTCGGTACTCCCTCACAAGTCTTCGGTTCCCAGTTATTATTGTCGCTTTGTCCTGAGGGATTCGGATTCATCATGTTACCAAAGTATGAGAGGAGATAGTGACTAAGACTAGGCCGAATAGTAACCACCGTGAGGTTCGGAGTATTAGCCACCGTGGGGTTCGGAATCTTAGCCACCGTGAGGTCAAACAAGTCCTCGAGAACGAAGAAGGGAAGCTGGTTCTCTAATAGCAACAAGTCATGTCTAATTGCGACGCGATTCAGAGAGGTGTCGAAACAGAAATCTTGACTTGTTTTGTTATTGGAATTTGGGTTGTTGCTGGTTCCGATCATGTTGGGATGACGATCCCTGCAGTGACGGCTCCAGAAATATTAATCAGGTAGTTGTTGAAGAATTTGGTTAGAATTAGGGCTGAGCAAGAAATCCGTGAAATCCGTAATTCGATCCAGTCCAGTCCAATCCAGTAGGTTTGGATTGGTTTTTTGAATCCGAAGATTTCAAACTTGTTTGTTGGTACAAATAGAGTATTTTCATATAGAAAAAAATTATATTTAAATAAAATTACTAACATAAACCAAAAATAAATTACTTATGAATAAAAAATGTGAGGAAAGAGGTAGAAGATTGGACCAGGGTGGAAAAATTATGAGCATATGTTAGAATTTTACAAATAAAGAATTACTTCTCTTGTTGAGTCCGTCGTGAACTTCTATTTAGTTGGGAAGTGTTTAGGTGTGTAAATTTTTATAATTTTAAACTATTTTGAATTTATTTAGTTTGTTTCTGAGAAAAATTTTCTTTTTTTTTTTTTTTTTTTCACCAGATTTGCCATTTAATTCCACCCTTAATGATGTGGTTCACTCTTGTGTGAAGTAGTCCTATATTTTGATGAGAGTTAATTGGTTATTGTGCCTGTTTGGTGCAGCTTAAAAGCTGCATATTTCAGCTTTCAGCTTAATTTAAACTATTTTAATGTGTTTTGTTTAGCTTAACAATGCAGCTTATAGCTTTTTGTAAGTCAGAAATCAGCTTATTCTTTGAGTGAGGCAGGAGATACTTAATTTATAAGTCAGAAATCAATTTATGTTCATAGTTATAAGCTATAAGCTGTTAAGACATAAACTACAATTACTTTCCCATAGCTCTACCAAACAGAGTCATTATAGTTTGTCACCGCGTTAGATATATAATAAGGGGTGATAAATTAGGAGATGAAACATTTTCCTTTCTAAAAAAAAAAAAAAATAGAAACCAATTTGATATAATTTTTTTAAAATTTTAAAATTTATTTATGATCTCCCAAAATATAAATTTATATGAAAATGACAAGCGTTTTTAAATTTTAATTTTTCTACCAAATTAACTTTTAATTTAAAAAATAAAATTTTAAAAACAAAATCAAGCATAACTTATAAATTTTCTAATATAATATATAATATTTAAAAAAAAAATTCTGGTGCGGTCACCTCCACCTTGATCCATCCATAATCATATCCACTATTAAATAAAAAATAAAAAATAAAAAATCTCTCCATTACAAATATTCAAGGAGAGGATTAAATATTCAAAATCTGTAAATACCTGTAGAGAAGTTCGAGTATGAAACAACCATCGATGACCAACATGGGTACATCCAGGGCATCGACTTTCTTTGGAAAGCATTTCTTGGCTCTGCCTAACAACTCTTTCATTTTCTCCACATCCTCCAGGACATCGACTTTCTTTGCAATGCATTCCTTGGCTTTGTCTAACGACTCTTTCATTTTCTCCAGGGCATCGACTTTATTTGCAAAGCATTCCTTGGCTTTGTCTAACGACTCTTTCATTTCCTCCACATCGACTTCTACTTTCTCTGCATAGCAATTCCTGGCTGTGTCTAACGACAGTTTCAGTCTCTCTACACATTGCGTTAGCTCCTTCTTAAAATCCATTGTTGGATTGGCTGTCTGCACTCGCTTAAACAGGGCTTCGGCGTACTGCTTCTTAATGTCCTCCATGGGAGATTTAAGATGTTCTTTGTTGCTGTGAAGAGGTCCGATTGAGACGAGTTGAGGAGTGTAGGCACTTTTCTTCACCTTGCGAAGCTTCTTCCGGACCCTGAAAATACATGGAGATGGCATGGATTCGGCCTTCTTTGTACCTTCTTTGATTATTTTAAGGATGGTTTCTCGAAGATCGTCACTCCCTTCCGTCATGGTGGCTACTGGGGTAGGAGGGAACTGATAAAGTTATGTTAGATAGTTCTTTTGGAGAAAATTGTTTAGGATTTATGAGGTTGTTCATGGAAAGAACCATACTGAAAGCACATATATATAGAGAAGGCCCAGCATCTCTAAGGGCCTGTTTGTTTTTGGAGTTAGGTTGAATAAGATTATTAGGGTGAAGACAATTAGTGAGGGAATTATGAGAAATGTTAGGGATCATGAAAATTTTTTCATGAAAATGATCATGAAAGATTTGTGACTCTTAGATTACCTTGATTAGTGTGTGGTGTTTTATTCTAGGTGTAATCCAAAGGTCACAAATCTTTCATGATCATTTTCATGAAAGACTTTTCATGATACCTAGCATTACTGGGGAATTATTAGTGTGGAACTTGTTAATGAAGAATTAAGAAAAATTATGTTTATTTGTAATATATTTAATTCCCTCTTCCAATGTCTACGAATCCTTCCTAGGGGTGTAAATCTAGCCTGGTTCGGTCCATGTCGGGCTTCACAGGTTCTCACTAAAATTCGGACCGAGCCAAGTTGGCCTATGGGCCAAAAAATTAGACCCAGACCCAGGGATATTCGTGCCTTAAGCGGGTCGATGGGCCTGGGCCTGGTCTTAGACTTGGGTAGGCCTGACAATTTTTTTTTATTTTTTTAATTTGTTCTATCAAAAATTTATTATTTTTCATTAAAAAAGAAATTAGACCTCGAGCGGGCCGACTTCGGGCCAAGTCTTGAGTGAGCTTTAAGTGGATTGACGGCCCAAGCCGTAAGTTGGGTCAAGCTTCAAAATAATGACCCTAAACCCGGGCCCAAACGAACTAGACCTACCCCAAACCAGAGACAAATTTCAAACTGCCCATGAATCATGAGCCATTTTTACACTCTTATTTCCCTATCCTATTGGGAACCACTACAGTACCAGAAAGTGATTTTCGGGTGCCATGCCAAAAAATAAATTTTAGCCATTAGATTTGGTGAAATAATCTCAACCATTGAATTCAAAATATGCTAACCGATTATAACCGGTAAATCTCCAACAGAGAAATGCTATGCACAGAGCCCAACAATTTGGAGAGTTGCACTGTTTTTTGTCACATACCGGTCTGTGCCCAACAATTTGGAGAGTTGCACTGTTTTTGTCATGTAGCAGAGTACTAAAGGTAAGAATAAATTATAAATACATCCAAATTTATTTAAAATAAAAAATTATTATTTTATAATTTTAAAAATTATATTTTCTCTTCAAATTTTCAATCACATAATAAATAATTATTTTTATTAATAAATTATCAAGACATTTAATAGCTTTAATAATGTCAGAAATATTTCAATAAATAATTTAGATCATTTTATTGTTACATAAAAGAGTAGCTAAAATTTTCGACTACGTTTGGTTTGAATTTTCAAAATGATTTTTGAGAGTCTAAAATCAAAAATTTATTTGTTTATCTCCATTTCCAAAATTATTCTCAAAATTATTTCAAACATTTTCCAAATTTATCTCTATTCCTAAAACTATTTCAAATCTATTCTAAATTTATCTCTATTATAAAAGTTAAATTAATTGAATCAATATCTATGTTGAAGTCTACGGAACATCATATTTTCAAGTTCATCCAAAAAAAAAAAAAATCTTTTTGCTTCACCAAAAAGAAAAAAAGGTTCATCAAATTTTTTTGGATGAAAATTGAATTTTTTTTTTTGTGTGTGTGTATTTCTTAGTATTTAGTGATTTTTTAAAATATTTTTTAAAATTTTTATATATTTTAAGTGTATTTAGATTGAGTGGATCTAAAACTGAAAAATATTGATTAAAACATTTGAAAAGTTCACTGCAAATAATAAAATATGAATTGAAACCAAAATATTAATTCTGAAAAACTCCAAAATTAAAAAATTTGACTAAAATACAAAAACAAAAAATACATTTAGAATAGGTGTAAAAAGTATATTTAGATTACGTGAACCTAAAAAGTATTAAAAAAAATTAAAAAATACAAAAAAAATTTACTAAATACAACAAAACACGAAAAATAAAAAATTCAAAAACCCAAAGATCCAAAAATTAGTTTTGAAATCTCAAAACTAAACAAGTTTGTCAACTCTTTAGAAAAATAATCTTTCAAAATTGATTCTAAAAACTAGACCAAACGGACCCTTTATTTTTTGAAAATTACTATCTCGTGGTAATTTCAAAAAAGATATTACACATACATGAAAAGTTTAAAACTTTCATTATTAATATTGATAAAACTTACTGTTGATTTGTAATGTATTTTTATTTTTATTTTTTGATCAGCAAAAAAAAAACTTTATTGATAATGTATTTTTATAATTGCAGCTAATATGCTATTTCCCTTTTATTTTCTGTATTACTTCTATTAAATAAAAAAAAAATATTGACAATAAAGTATTTATAATTTCTAGAATCACAAGAAGTACTTCATATTTTAAGTAAAAATCAAAATATTTATTTGCAATTTATCTTAAAATCCACATTATCATATTGTAATAATAAGCCTTCTTAATCATCCAGAGTGGGTTTCATTTTTATTTTTATTTTTATAATTAATGTGAAATTAAAATTTAAAAAGACCATTCTACCTTTATCTTCATCATCCAGCCATCCATCTCCTGGCAAATCCTATCTCTGTCTAATAAACCCTAACTTCATATACTAAATCCTACAAACCATAACTCTATCTAGCCCTCACCTTAACTAGCCACCCTAACTCTATTCTCGACCTTCACTGTTGTATACTCTCCCATCCTCAACCATCATTGCAACCTCCTTTCCCATCTCAGGCCGTCGTCATTGTCTCTTCCTCCATCTTTGACCATTGCTGCAACATTCTTTCCGTTCCTTGAACATTGCTGCGGCCTCCTTTCCTATCTTGAATCGTCGCCGTCGTTTCTTCTCCCATCCCTAACCATCACTGTTGCCTTCTTTCCATTTCAACCACACTTTTTCTTTTTTGTGTTTTTCCCTTGGCTCCGTTGAAGTTTTGTTGAGTAATATTTTGTTTATATTTCAGTAGAAAATTTATTAATAATAGTATACTTTACTTATTAAATCATACTCAATTAAATCGCATTTACTACTTAATGAGTTTTCACTTACTATTTTATTACATTTTATTTAAATGGAAGCTCGTTGACTAGTAAGTGAAGTAGTAAATGGAAACCCATTGAGTACAAACTAGAGTGTAATGAAATAGAAAGTGAAAGCTCATTGAATAGTAAGTGGAGTCTAGTGAAATAGTAAGTAGAAGCTCATTAAGTGGTAAGTAGAGCATAGTGAAGTAACAAGTGAAAATTCATTGAGTAGTAAGTGGAGTTTAGTAAAATAGTAAGTGGAAGCTCATTAGAGTCTAATGAAGTAGTAAGTGAAATCTCATTAAGTAGTAAGTGGAGTCTAGTGAAGTTGTAAGTGGAAGCTCATTGAGTAATAAGTAGAGCCTAGTGAAGTAGGAAGTGAAACCACAATTAAGTAGTAAGTAAAGTGTAATGAAGTAATAAGTGGAAACTCATTGAGTTGTAAGTGAAGTTGAGTAAAGTAGTAAATAAAAGCTCATTGAGTAGTAAGTAGAGTTTATTGAAGTAGTAAATGGAAGCTCATTGAGTAGTAAGTGAAACCAAAATTGAGTAGTAAGTAAAGTATAATGAAGTAATAATTGAAGCTCACTAAGTAGTAAGTGGAGTCTAGTAAAGTAATAAGTAGAAACTCATTAAGTAGTAAATGGAGTCTAGTAAAGGATTTCTGTATGCATTTGCTTGAAATATAAAATCAAACATCAACATATCACCAAAACACAAATAATCTATTCGAGATCCACCGTCTGTCCAAAACAAACTATTTAATCAATTTTTTTCATTCACATCATATTTATAATAAAACATTGGATACTGCCCTGCTTTACCATATAAGTAAGCTAAAACACCTTCTGCATTACCATTGAGCATTTGCACTCTACGCATAGTCCCAAAATGGTTGTACCTGTCCTTTTGTATGAACCCAATATTTTCATAGCCACTTGCTTGTTGTGCAGCAAAGTCCATAATATGACTTGTCCTCATACCAATATGATGCATTGCATAGCCTTATGCCTTGTCGGCACTCGTAACATTCTTATGTGAGCGAAGAAATTGAACACCAACAGGCTATATCATATAATGATTATGATGTTTGAAAATTTTACTCATTTCATATTTGAAAGTACTCCGATTGTATTTGGCACGGAAAGAAGCATGACAACCAACTCTAGTTAACTATTTTGGTTCTCTTTCACGTTCTTCAACCTCAAGGTATTTGGATAGTCTATGTTATTCTTTTGAGCAAACCCATTGCCTAGATATGACCATATTACTCTTGCCTTTATACAATTTGTCCCTTCGAATACTAGAGCCTTTCACCTTAGTATACGAATTATAAAATCTTTCTCTATTTTCATCTGAATCAAATGCTTTTTTAAACATACCTTGTTCAGTTAATTAATCTAGACGCTTAACATCTCTTTCAGTTAGGAGATCATTACAATTGATGATATCATCTTCATTATACTCACCATCATTAGTACCATCATCATCATCTATTTCATATATAATGTTATTCTTATTTTGCTCAATGCTGTCTTCCATCTGCAATAAGTACAAGCAAATTAATTAGGAAATAACAAGTAAAGATGGTAAGTAGAATGATAAAATGGTAAGTGGTAAGTTCAGTCGCAAAGAATTGTAAGTAGAATGAGAATGAATGATAAGTATTGCGCTTTTGAATGGTAATTAAACTCTACTTACTATTTAATGAGGCTCTACTTACAATTTTACTATACTTTGCTTACTACTCAATTAACACCCCTTACCACTTAATAATACTCTATTAGACTTTAATTATTACTTAATGAGCTTTTACTTACTACTCAATTAAACTATAATTACTACTTAATTAAAAATGACTTATCAATCAATAAGACACCACTTCAATATACTTAAGTAACTAGTCAATGAAATTATACTTACACAAAAAACTGTACATATAAACGTTACCAAACATGTCCTTAAATAGAAATTACTATTTTGAGGT